TTTTAGTGCCTCTTTAGTGCTGTAGTACAGTAGAACCCCGCCATACGACCACCCCGTTATTTCGACCACTTTTTCGTGGCCCGAACAAAAGCCCACTCATTTTCCCTACCTCGTTAATACGACCAATTTTCCATGACCCGAAGGTGGTCGTATTAAAGGAGTTCCACTTTATTGCATTTGCAACAAGCAACCCGGGGCATCGCAGAATTAAGCACCAGCCTAATGGGCCACTAGGCTCATAAACAGACTTTACCTTACCTACTGCCACCTAGCTAGCAGGTGGCAAACTATTATCCTGCTATTGCAACACCAGAATCTCAGCTGACCATATATACTATCCTATAGTTCAGGAGGAAATTGGTAGCTTCATGGTTTAAGTGCACTTGACTCCAGATCAAGTGGTCTGGGTTCGAGCCCTGGCCAGGGACAGTGTTGTGTTCTTGGGCAAGACCCTTTACTCTCTCAGTGCCTCTCTTCACCCAGTGCTCGAAATTAGTGGTCGTCTGGTTGTCCAAGACGACCAAAAAGTTTGCCAGGCAACCAATTTTTAGTAAAATTAAGAGGCTGGTTGTCCAGACCAAAAAAAAAAAAACGGACAACCCCACCAAAAATAGAAAATGAATTAACCATAAACAGCACCTGACCTACGTGATGGTTTTCTTTTGTCAATGTCCGGTAGTGTGAAGTTAATAATAATTTGCCTCAGCTGAGCATTTTCGTGTGTTTTGGATATCTGTAAATTTTATAAAACATTGCCAGGTATGAAAGTGTAAGAGAAAAACACAAAGTTTCTTGTCTGGAGGTGATCAAGATCAAAGACACCACTTTGAATATGCCACAACTTAAACCCAGACTTCCACAAAAACCATTGCCGCACACTAAGAACTATGGGATTAGTTCAAGCTTGACCACCATGTGATTACACCTCAAGTTCTACACGGCGTAAAAATGGACGTTTTTTTGAGTAGTGCACTTAAATGTGTGGGTTTTTCTACTGGGCAACCAAGGATTCATCAGGGGAACCAAATTCACGGCTTTGGTTGCCCAGCTTTTGAAATAGGGACAACCTGGATTTTTTTTAATTTTGAGCACTGTTCACCCAGGGGAATAAATGGATACTGGTGAATTTAATTCTGGGGGTAATCCTGTGATCCAGGGAGGAGTAGAAATACTCCTAGTCAATTCATGCTATATATGGAAACCAGATTTAAGTGTTTGGCTCATAAACAGGCTTTACCTCTTTTAGCATTGCCACCTGGTTAGCCTGCGGCAAACTATTATCCTGATATTGCCCCACCAGGATCTTAGTGGACCATACTTAAACCCATAATGAATTAATCATCTGCTGAATTAGAGGTCTAATGTTTCTATAATCAAGCCAGAGTGAAACTCAGTGGCAATCTGGTGCTCTTATAACATCTACTTGCCTCGCACAG